ATGTGCACAGTGACACCGGAAGTGATGCATAACACATAACTTCTGGGTCCAGTGATTGTAGGAGAGATCAGCTGCTAGAAGACTGCTGATCTCTCTCCGATCTGTCAGGGGAGACCCTCTGTGCCGCTCCCGGGCCCGCATGGGGGACAGCGGCACCCGGGGAAGCCGGCAGGGGCCCTGCAGGGGGGGCACACAGCGCTGCACCGTACAAATGATCAGGCACCTGTACAGATGCTGGATCACTTGCACATAAAACACAATCACCTGATATCCAAGAACAGCAGCCATGTTCTTGGTATAACCACTTTAAGCGGATGATGTGTATTTATGAGAACCCCCATGAAGTGCTAACCCTTTTTATCAGGAACCACAAGAGCATTTAGATTAATGGACTTCAATGTCTTGTGCATTTTTCAAAACTGTGTCGCAAGTTTACATTACAAGCATGTCACTAAACAAGTCTGGTTTGTTATCATGAAGTACCAAAACTGCACACATTTTTAATGTCCAGTTTGACTAACAGAAAGCATAACCAGAATAATTTAAACATCGCTGAATAAGCTAAATAGTGCTTTAAATGAATTTAAAGCCCATTATGTGTCAAGCTTTCCTTTCACATTTACATAATCACATTATGTTGTACTAATTACATTTCCTTCTTGCCATTACAAAATATAAAGCTAATGTGTTATTGCATTTATATAAACAATTCATAACAGCTTAGGATTTTAACTAATTGACTGTTTTAAAGCAAACATTTTTCCTGTAGAAAGCAAATTATTGCAAAGATTTACTTAGTGAAATGTATTTTTTTAGTTTGTTTTTATGATGCTGTTTTATACAGAAGGAAAAATGTAATTCCAGATTTCTGCAATTCACTGGTCCGTGGATTTACATACTGTATGATGACCAAAATGTAATTTTATTTATTAGTTTTCCTATAACTGCCTAAACCAATGTTCTGCCCAGTATCTTTTGTGAAATGTTAGTCCTACATTGTAAAATTTTTACATGATTTTGTTAACCGATGACCATCATTTGGTAGAATCAGGTGCATGGGTGACAAATAATTATTTGATGACATAAATTACAGATTGCTTAGGAACCAGTGTGAAAACTGTATGTGGTAAATACAAGTAATAATAGTATTATTTTTCATATGCCTTTATTTATATTTTCTCCACATTTGTATGTACTCCAAGATGTTTAGTAGCAGTGACGTTGAATAGAACTAAATAACAGGGGTGATTACAATGGTCAATATTTATCCCACATGTATTTAAATCTTCAACTGGACAGCTTGGCATTCATGCACTTGTAAAGAAAAGTATGAAAGACAATTAAATACTGCATACTATATTTATGTTTTAACCACACAGTATACATTAATATTTGTTATTTTGGTGCTTTAAACATAAAATATTAGCATCTTCTTTGTAAATAACTATATACAGTATTATGTTATAAAAGAAACATTTGGTCAATGAATTTTTCTGTGCCCTTGTTTTAAAGGACAGGTACACTTTAGATCTTTTCATACTTTGCTCACTGAAGCCTATAGTGGTTCTGCAGCCATCCCCTTGATCCATTACTTTGCAGGTGTAGATTTTCTCCATAACCTTAATGGTACCTGCAAGTGGGAAAAAGGTTTCTGTACTGGGGTTTGTGGAGAAAAGCCAATTGTTTGCAGTACGCCACGACCCACCAGCTCAAGGAGATGACTTCAGAAGAGCACGGGCCAGTGTATGGGAGGGCAAGGGGCTAAGGTTGGGAGAACATCCCAAAATACATGGATTTAAAAAAGCATACTTTTTCATGAATATGCCCATATTACATTAATGTATTGGGCAAAATAACTGATTAATTAGTCAACCAAAGAGTACTGTCTTAGATAGCTCTATAGATTTACAGTTTTAATATTTTTCTTGCTGATATAGCTTTTTTCTAAAAAAAAAATTGTTTTGGTTTTATGGTGTATACTCCTGTAAATACTGTAAAAAAAACCCTCAAAATAATATTGAATTACACTGTATTTTCCTTTAATACATTTTTCAAGTACTGAGATTTAATAATCACTCTCTGGGGTATATTTATGTTTTCTCCCTAGATTTGCACAAGTTTTAACCAAGATTCACCAATTGTACATAGATTTGCATTAGAAAATAGGTAAATCGTAGGTGAAAAATGCATGAATCCTAGGTTACAATTTAGTTTATAGTAAGTTAACAATAAATTATGACTCAGCATATTTTCAAAGTGGTAACTAGCAGGTTACTATATAGAATGCAATGGCAGAAAAGAAAATGTTTACCTTCGCTAAGATAGCAGCATTTACAAAGTGTTTGTTTTTACCTAATTGATGCTTTTAGTAGTTAAAGAATAAATTGGCCTGAATAGCCAATTGAATGGAATAGCTCCCTTTTGTCATGATGGTATCAGCAGTCACAGATATAACTTAAAGAGTAACCCCACTTTCACCCCACAGTGACTGACTGACCAATTTTTCTGGAAGTCTGCACTAAGATACAATTTTTGGCACCCCTTGCAATAGAAATTTATTTTGGTGAGATTCTCCCTAATTACTACTAAACAGATGCAGACACTTCAACTTTTCTTATTATAAGCCAGGAGGCCCTCTAGCTCATTATAATGAACCCATGGCCTCCAATTTAGGGGTCAGTTTGGAAAGGACATTCTGCTACAAACAGCTTTTTCTTTAGAACAGATAAAAAAAACTAACTAAGTTGGTTAAAATCCTTGTAATTGTCACAATCCAGCAGGGCAGTACTCTCTTGGATCTCAACTGCGGAACTAACACTCTAGGTGTGAGGGTTCGTTCAGTCTTGCGGAACCCCAATACACTCAGTGTGATGGGGGGCCGTTCCACATCATGTACCCGTCCTAGAATGTTATAGGGATGTGACCAATGAGGGCCAAAAGGTATACAGTTTAGGTATTTTGGTTATAACTATCAACCTCAAGTGGAGGCGTGTGGTGAATTGTAGTTTTGTCACTGCAGGAATAAATAGGGAATTGTTTCCTATCACCCCTCTCCAATCCACAGTGATCACGGTGTGGCACATTTACTGAATGGCGTTCACTAATACACTTGGGGAGATGTGTAGTGCGGTGGTTATGCAAGGTTACCTTCAGCAGAGCAGGTTACGCAATCCGTAATAATCAACAATATGATATGTTCAGTTGGTATTAATGCACACAGATCCTTGCTAGTATATACATCTCAATATCGCTTTGAAGTGGCTACAAATAGGTGGGAGAAAACCAGCAATATGGTATGTTCAGTTGGCATCAATGCATACAGTTCATTGCTAGCATATGCGTCTAATATGGGTTGAAGTGGCTACCAATAGGTGGGCGATAACCAGCAATATGGTATTCCAGTTGGTATCGATGCACACAGTTCATTGCTATCATACACGTCTAATATGGCTTGAAGTGGCTACCAACAGGTAGGGGAAGATCCCCTTGTACTTGCGGTTCAAGAGTGGAGGGAGTTCAGGAGGAGTAGGAGGTAATCCTGTGTAGCAATGTGAGCCGTAGCAGCTAGCAGTAGCTGAGTCCCAACATGGAGGCTGAATTCCTCACTTAAGGCTGTGGATGGTCTGTGGCTCTGTTCCCCACAGAGTCAGTCGCTCGACGTTTCACAACGATTGAACGCCTAGTGACTGACTCAGCTGTGTTTAAGAGGAGGAGGTGCCGCGCCCAGGGGGAGGAGCTGGCCGTGACGGCACACCTGTCCGAGTCAATCTATGACAGTACCCCCCCTCAAGGAAGCCCCACCGGGGCGTACCCGCGGAGCAGGTCTGCAGGGGTGTCTGGCGTGAAACCGCTTTAGTAGCCGAGGTGCGTGGACGTCTCCATGAGGTCCACATCCTTTCCACCTGATGAGGTACTGCAATCGGCCCCTAAGGAGGCGAGAGTCCAAGATTTGTTCTACCTCGAATTCTGGTTCCCCTTGAACCAAGACTGGTGGAGGTACAGGAACTCGCCGGTTACCAAAGGTATTGGGTCTGTGAGGCTTCAGGAGTGAGACGTGGAAAGTAGGATGAATCTTCATAGAAGTAGGCAAAGTGAGCTGGAAGGCAACAGTATTGACTATCTTTTCTATCGGAAACGGTCCGATGAACAACCGACTAAGTTTTCTAGACGGGGCTTTAACAGCAAGGTATTTAGTCGACAACAACACCAGATCTCCAATCTGGTATAGGGGGTTCTGACGTCTCCTTAGGTCATAGAACCGTTTGTGCCTTTGCTGGGCACGAGATAGATTGGTCTTAAGAAGAGAACTGGTTTGTTGGATCTGACGTAAGTAGTCATTGGTTGAAGGAACGTTTGTCGGCAGAAAGGTAAGTGGTAGTGGTTTGGGATGGAAACCATAGTTTGCGAAGAACGGAGATGTCTGCGTGGACGAGCTGACGGAATTGTTGAAGGCTAATTCAGCAAGCGGTAGCAAGTCCACCCAGTCATCCTGTAAGTAAGAGCAGTGACAACGTAAGTATTGTTCTAAACATTGGTTCACCCGTTCTGTTTGACCATTGGTTTGTGGATGGTGGGAGCTGGACAGGGACAGGTCTACGTCTAATCTGGTACAAAGGGCCTTCCAGAATTTGGAAGTGAATTGTGTTCCGCGATCCGATATGAGTACGGAGGGAACACCGTGTAGTCTAATGACGTTGTTGATGAATGCGTCTGCCGCCTCCTTGGCAGTGGGTAATCGGAGAAGCGGAACGAAATGGGACATTTTGGTGAAATGGTCGACGACAAATGAATTTGCTGTAAAAATTGGCGAATCCGAGAAATCGCTGCAATGCATGTCTAGTTTTGGGTTCGAGCCAGTTGATGATGCACTCGATTTTTGACGCGTCCATCTTCACCCCTTCAGGGGAGATAATGAACCCCAAGAATGGAATAGTGCATGATTCAAAAATACATTTCTCCAACTTAGCATAGAGATTGTGAGCTCTAAGGCGGCCTAGTACCTACCTGACATGTTTCCTGTGATTCTCGAGGGTGTCTGAGAAAATCAATATGTCATCCAAGTAGATCACAACGTAGACATCGAGGAGGTCTCTGAAAACATCATTAATAAATGCCTGGAAGGTGGCGGGGGCATTACACAGCCCAAAAGGCATCACGTTGTATTCGAAGAGCCCGTACCTGGTGCGAAAAGCCATTTTCCATTCGTCGCCAGGACGTATTCTCACGAGATTGTAAGCCCCTTTTAGGTCCAGTTTTGTGAAAACCTTTGCATCTTGCAATCTCTCAATGAGCTGGGGAATCAAGGGTAATGGGTAACGGTTTTTGATTGTAATTTTGTTGAGCGGTCGATAGTCTATGATCGGCCGCAAACTTTGGTCTTTGTTCCTCACAAAGAACATGCCTGAACCAGTGGGTGAAGTTGAGGGACAGATGAACCCCTTTTTTAGATTTTCATCTAGGTACTCCCGTAGATGTTTCAGTTCTGGTTCCGATAAGGGGTAGATGCGGCCTAAGGGTATTTCGCTTCCGGGGAGCAAGTCAATAGGGCAATCATATGGCCTATGTGGGGGCAATGCGTTAGCCCCCTTCGAACTAAAAAACGTCAGCGAACTCCCCGTACTGGGGGTGGACCGACAATGGCGAGATTTGTAGTACATGAGGTTTAGGGAGACAGTTCTCCTTGCAGTACGGGGAGTTGAGCTGAAGCCCGCCTTGCGACCACAGGTGAGCTGGTTGATGCAATCGCAACCAAGGTAATCCAAGGATCACTGGGAAGTTTGGCGATGGAATCACATCGAAAGCCAATACCTCCCTGTGGTTCCCGGATGTGATCACCTGTAGATGTTGTGTTTCTCGAGAAATCGGACAGGTGGCTAATGTGATTCCATCAATAAAACTCACTGCAAGCGGTACCACTAGGGTAGGGATTTTATTTTGCTAGGGTAGGGATTTTATTTGTTTCGACCAATTGATCGTCAATGAAGTTAGAGCAAGCTCCCGTATCCACCATCGCTTCAGTGTAGACGCGGTTTTGCTCCCACTGCAATGTCAAGAAGACAAAGAGGTAGTTACTTGAAGGTGGTTGAGAGGGGAGAGAATTGTTTAATTGCATGCTCTTTCTTTTGTTGTTTTTGAGAATCAATGGGCATGCGTCTACCGCATGTTATGGTGCTGCGCTATACATGCAGAGTTGCTGCTGTCTTCTCCGGAGCCTTTCCGCCTGGGATAGTGGTCCACGTACAGCTCTGATCTCCATGGCCTCTTCCCCTGGGGATGGGGAGGCGCGTCTGGTTGAGGGGGTTTGACTGGTGGTTTTCTCGGCCCTCCTCTCGCGGATGCGCCGGTCGATGGAAATGGAACGGTGCATGAGGCCATCCAGAGTGGGGGGCAACTCTGCTCGGGCGAGCTCGTCTTTCAATGGTTCCGAAAGTCCCAGACGGAACTGATTCCGTAGGCTTATATCATTCCATTCAGTTTGGCCTCCCCATCTTTTAAACTGGGCGATATAGTCTTCCACCGGCCTATTCCCTTGTTTCAGGCTGCGTATGGTGCTTTCAGCGGTAAGTTGTTTGCTTGTGTCCTCATATAACAAGGACATGGCATGTAGGAAGTCCTGCAGGGACTCTAGGATGGGGTTCTCTTCTTCCAGGAAGGTGTCGGCCCATGCCCTGGGTTCACCCCTCAGGTAGGAGATAAGTGATCTAACTTTCAGACCATCTGTGGCGTAGGTCCTAGGCCTGAGATCAAACATCAGCTGACACGCACTTATGAAATCCCTGTATCTCCTCCTATCTCCAGTGAAGACATCAGGGGGTGAGACCTTTGGTTCAGGTCGGTCTCTAGCTGGTGAAGGGTTATTTATATACCCCACTATGTAGGTGCGGAGCCTCTGGCTTTCCTCCTGTAGGTCAGTGACTCTGGTGGTTAAGGTCTCTAAGGTATAAAATTCATTTCAGTACAGCGCTGCATGACGGAATAAATGTCAGTTAAAGTACCGCAGCACTGAATACTGAAAAATGGCCTGGATGGGAAGGGGGTTTAACACCGCGGATGTCAACTGGTTAAAAAAATAATTTTTTTGTTTTTTTTTTGTTTTAAATTTCATTGATCCCTGTCATTCAGGGCAGTACCCGGATCCCCATACACTTTTTATGGCCAATAAATTGCATATAAGGCTTCAAAATGGGGACATTTAATTTTCTGAGTTCTACTCTAGACTTGCATTGAGTTCTAAGTTCGAATTAGAACTTTTTCCATGTTCGAAAGTTCGAGTTAGAACCGAACACGGGGGTGTTCGGCTCATCCCTATTCAGGAGGAGTAGGAGGTAATCCTGTGTAGCAATGTGAGCCGTAGCAGCTAGCAGTAGCTGAGTCCCAACAGGGAGGCTGAACTCCTCACTTAAGGCTGTGGATGGTCTGTGGCTCTGTTCCACACAGAGTCAGTCGCTCGACGTTTCACAACGATTGAACGCCTAGTGACTGACTCAGCTGTGTTTAAGAGGAGGAGGTGCCACGCCCAGGGGGAGGAGCCGGCCGTGACGGCACACCTGTCCGAGTCAATCTATGACAGTAATGTACACAAATCACCCAGAGGGGATTGTTTATTTCCCAACAATAGTGGAATTACTCTTTAAACACTCTTGCCTTTTACTTTTTGTCATTATTTCATGCTACATACTAAGTTTATATAAATCAACAGTCCACAGATCTGCAGACCTAGGATTTGCTTTAGCTGCTATGCAGTACTTTCTGTTAGTGCTAACTTTATGTAATATTTACATGAGGCCGTTATTCCTTATGAGGGAACAGATACAGCGGCCATCAAATAATAATAGATATGCATGCTTCCAAACTTTAAAATTAAATAGCTAATGGCAGGCTATAGAAAGAAAAGCAGTTCATGAAGTTTAAGATTTCTTGAATATATTACAACATGTATCAGAACTGATGGTTAAGAAGTCACTTTTATATCAGGCTGTGAAACTGGAATTGATAAAACTCTGAATAAAAAGTCAAGATGAAAATTGCCTTTTTAAACTAATTCCAATACATAACATACTGTGCTTGTTCATACACTCCCATCAGAGCACACATTTTCTTAAATTTTGAACATTATTGTATTAGGAGCAGTATGAAAGCATGTGCCGTGGCACAGAGCAGTAGCAATTGAAGTTTTAAAAACTGCATCTGCTGTTTTACTTTCTAAAGTTTAGGACTTTGGTTAGAATTGTAAGGTCAGTCTTGTTCCAGCATAACATTTAATAAAATAATAGGAATTGCCAAGAGGTAAAACAAAACTACAGTAACCAAGCTTTTAGTATTCAGATTAGATAACACTTTCATTACAACTTGGCCATTAATCTGACCAGAATGTATAGGGTGTCAGGCCACTTATTTTATTTAGAGAAAAGTGTACTTACCAGAGTATATTTATGGAGGTTATTCATTAGATCGGGAAAAATGCAAATGAGATCAAAAGTGAAGTTTTCCCTTTCCAACCATTTACAATTTTTGTTTACTTACTACATAAAATTAACAGTGGACAACACAATGAGGCTAGACGATCAGCAAATCAGAGACAGCTATATAATGGGTTCAAATATTAACCACACCTATAGTACAATATTAATATTTGCTAGTTATCTAACTGATTAAGTTAGAATAGTGGTTATATTCTAATTAAAGGACACCTCTCAGATGGTAAAAGTCAGCAGTTGATGATACAGTCTCTTTCACCAAAGCAAGGAAATTATAATTTGGCTGTTTACATGTGAGAAACATGTCACATTGATCAGTGAAAAGTGCTGAGGTAGCTGCAAGTGTTTTATGTTCAGAATGAAGGCCACAAAGGATAAGTAATTGTGATGAAATAGATTTTGCAGGGAAATTACCAATATTTTTGCCAACATTTTATCGAAATTATCTTCAACTTTTGCCATGTGGCTGGCAAAATTAGCTTACAAAAATCACATGGCTTTGTTTTCTAACAACTTTATCAACAAAGTCATGTGACTGCTACTATAGTTCAGTGCTGAAATAGTGATCACAAAACATTGTGGATAAACAAAGGTTTAGAGTTAGCTATAGTGTTACAATAGGCTTACCAGATAAAGAGGAGCTGTTTTTCTGTTACAAGCACAGGCCCAGTATGGTTTTAAAGGATTTCTCTGCATTTCAGATGCAATTTAAAGCCTATTGCACCCTTAATACCACTAAAAACAATCTTAGTTTTTCCTGTCCAACAGACTCAAATTTGTTTTGAGTCTATTGGACAGGCAAAAGTATGTCTATGATCAGCACAACATGTTTGTGTCTTATGGAAATTGTTTTGTGATTCATTGGTATATGTTACTATAGTGCCTAATGATGGGAATGAAATAAGTATTTTAATGTACACTTATCTCTTACTGAGCGATAAAACTATTGATGAATATTCATTAAATATTTTGGTTTTGATATGTATGCATTCAAATAAATTGATAAAATGATCTAAAAAAAATTTCAGATAATATATGATTAGCATACATTGTCAAAATTATTTTGCTGGCATCAAAGCTTAATCTCTGGCATCAAAGCTTAATTACACAAAAAACATTTTGTGTAAGCTATTGATGTTATCCAGAAATCACTGAAATTGTGTTAAAATCAGAAATTGTGCACATACACTGTATAACATTTAATTTTATTGACATAAGATTGTAATGCTTTGCAATGTCACAAGATATATGTCATAAATGTTGTCACTGCAATCAATGTGGGTCCATGCTGATGGGGATCTGAATGGGCCACAATATAACTAAAGAGGCACACACCTCTCCTCATCCTCGGGACCATGACTGGGGGACCCAATGGTAAAGCTGTATCTGCAATAAATTGTGGGTCTGAAGAATGGAGCTGTGATCATTCTATTAAGGTACAAAAATATCTTCTTGTACACCCCAAATGCCATGCTGTATGCTCCCTATTCCACACCACCTTATTCAATATGCCGTGCTGCACGTCCCCTATTCCACACTACCTTATTCAATATGCCATGCTGTATGTTCCCTATTCCACAGTGCCGCCTTCAATATGCCATGCTGTATTTTCCCTATTCCACACTGCCTCATTCAATATGCCATGATGTATGTTCCCTATTACACACAACCCTATTTTATATGACATGCTGTATGTTCCCTTTTCCAGAACACTTCATTTAATATGCCAGGCTGTATGTTCCCTAATCCATGTTGTCTCATCTATACACCTTGTTGTACATGTTATATTCTGCACTGCCTCATTCTGTACACTGTGCTGTGCATTCTGTATTTTGCATTAACCTTGAAGGCCTAGCAGCTCTAGTGTGTATGTGTGTATATGGGTGCCAGAACTGGGGTGTCAGATATTTGGAAAAGGGCAC